TATCCAACTCATGAAATGGAAACAGGAATGTTCTTCTGCATTAAGATGATGTTATAAATATTTTTAAGGATCCCACAATAACTGATTTAACCCATAATGTAGCTGACAGACTCTTCACCTATAATACATAATATAGAAAACAAAGCCTTTGCCTCCTCTGGCTCAGAATTTCTGTTTTAAACCAGCCTACCACCCCAGCTGTTCCTTGGAATGGGTACCTGTTTAATTTCAGCTAGCCTGGCTCTGAAATTCATTCTTAATAAAATATACATGATTAAAATAAAAGTGTCAAAGGAAGCATGGGAAGTGAATGTCTACAGTTTGGTAACTCAGTGGGAGGCAGGACCCCCACATCAAAAACCAAAATGTATTTTCTTTCTGGTGTCTGTTTTGTGCTTCTTCCTCTCCTGTTCTGCAACTCTTCCAAATATATTTTCACTAAATATATTTGGTTTGTGCTGCTACTGAAATTTTTTCACATCCCATTCCATTCCTTGTGGCTAATGCTAAAAAAAAAAAAGTCATCAGAAGAAAATGAAGGACACTAGACTGAGCCAATAGGCAGGACTCATTTGTTTCTGACTTGGTTATTTACTCTAGGAAGATAGGTATGCAAAGGCTAAAAGCTGCTCCCCAGCCTCAACTAAATTTAATCTTTACCAAATGGTGAAATACACAGGGGGCTGCTGAATTCCTAGAAACTAGCCCTTTCCCTGGATTATTAGTACGATGTTCTAGGATAAGCACTGAGCTGCTACTAAGGTTAGCAGTTCAAATCCACCAGCCACTCCTCGGAGCCCTATTCTGGGTTGCTATGAGTTGGAACTGACTCAAAGGCACTTGATAACAGCAATCCCTTTTTCCACAGGAATCCCATCAACCACAACTCAGAAAAGCCCCAAAGATCTTCAAATTCAAAGTGTCCCTCCACTCTTTATGGAAAATTTTCAGTTTGTGTGTATGTGCACAAGTGCATACGCATGATGTACATGCATACTCATATATCCATTTGCAGATCAAATCACTTTTTTACATTCAGTCATTACCTTACCCATCTGTACATCCTTTATCCTTCTTGCTTTCCTCCTCTCCTTTTTATATATGTTTGAAAAGAGCTGGTGGAGAGAATTTTACTCACTTCTATGCTAATGCCCAATATTCAGAGAGAGAGAGAGAAAACCAAACCCTTATGGATTTCATGTATTTTTCTGGAGGTGGTCCTGTTGAAGCTTCAAATATTGATCAACAAGACTACAAGTTTTAATTTATTTTCAACAAATATTTATTAATCACTTACAAGAGGAGAAATACTGTTTTATGCTACAGCAATAAACCAAATATACAAAAATGTTACCACTGAATTCTACTACTGATTCAGACAGAAAACAGACAAGGTAAATAGAGTATTTTTGCTGTCCGAATTAAGAGGAAGGCCAATAAAAGCTACAGGAAAGGGAATTAACGTTTTCAATAGAGTGTCCAGAAAAGGCTTCCCTGTGCAGATGAGATCTGAACAAGTCCTAAATGAATGAAGGAAGCAGAGTAAGAATTGTGAAAGATGATTCCAACAAAGGAGCTGTCACATGCAAAGATGCTGTGGTGGGAGCATTCCTAGTAGAGAGTAGTAGAGTATGACGTCAGAGGTAATCGCAGGCCACAATATATTGGGCCATTCAAGGCACTAAAAAAACAAGGACTTTCATTCCAAGTGTTCTGGGGAGCCCTATTGAGGATTTTGAGCAGAGCTAGCCATTTAATAACTACAAGACCTTTGGTAGGCCATTGATCTGAGCATCAGTTGCTTTGCTTCTAAAATGCAAACGCTGTGCTAGGTGAGTATCTAAGTTTTCTTTCAGCTATAAAAATTGATTCCTAGACATCTAGAGGACATTAGGTTCCTATATAGGCAGATTGCTAATATAAAGCTTCACCTATCTTGCCTTTTCATCCCTCTCTACTGCTGCCAAAATTGACAATAGTGGCTCAGCACAGGCTTACAGGGACACACAGATTCACCTGGCCCCTATTTCACTCAGTGTGACATGGGTTAGATGTGTTTATGCATAAAACATCAATAAAGTACGATGTTGAGAGCTAGACAGTGGTTGTAGAGAACTGTTGACACCTACATTAGACTCCCAGAAGTTCTTGGGATGTCCCAAATGAAACAGACAAAATCACTTGTGCATTTGACACCCTGCTGCCTCCCATCTTGCTCAGGAAACTAGGGCACTCTCTTTGTAGGAAAGAAGAAGGAAGAAAGAGAAGATCAAATATCTTTTTTATTTATATTAAAATAAAAAGCTAAAAATAAGCATTTTCCTTTCTAATCATTTCATATCATGCATAGAATGTCCACTTTCATTTTCAAGTCAGTTTACTTCATTTCTGTGGACGATTTGAGCTTTTTTTTTATCTAAATGTCCTAGTAGCTGTATTTTTTTTTTCTTCTTTGTTTTCTCTCCTCCTTTGTCATTCCAATCTCAGAAACCCACAGAAATTATAGCTAAAACGAGGGGCAGAGGCTCCTGGTATTTTATATCTATGCTTATCAGTGAATAAATAATAGGCTAAGGATAGTTTCCTAAGGAGCTCTGGTAGCGTAGTGGTTACGAATGGGGCTGCGAACCTTAAGGTCAGCAGTTCGAAACTACCAGCCGCTCCGCGGGAGAAAGATGAGGCTTTCTACTCCTGTAAAGATTTACACCCTTGGAAACCCTGTACAGGGTCGCTATGGGTCGGAACCGACTCGACGGCACTTAACAACAACAAGGATAGTTTCCCAGCTTACTATATAAGAGCCACAACTGATCTATTTACTACTAAAGTTGGATCTAAATGTAGGAATTAAATGATCATTCTACTAAGGAGCTCTGGTAGCGTAATGGTTACGAATCGGCCTGCTAACCTCAAGGTCGGCATTTCGAAACTACCAGCGGTTCCGCGGGAGAAAGATGAGGCTTTCTGCTCCCGTAAAGATTTACAGCCTTGAAAACCCTGTACAGGGAGGGTCGCTATGAGTTGGAACCAACTCCACGGTACTTAACAACAACAAGCATACCTTGTTGAGTCTGGTGTGGCACTGCAGGATAAGGACTAGACCAGAGGTCAGTTTGGACCGCAAGGTCAGTGGTTCAAACTCACCAGCTGCTCTTCAGAAACCCTATACAGGATCACTATGAATTGGAACACTATGAATTGGAAAAGACCATATGACACTTAACAACAAAAACTAGCATACCTTGTACCTTTCAGTTGTGTTTCTGTTTGTTTGTTTCTCGTTTTCTCTCAATGCTACCATTCCATCACCACATCCTCTAAGAGATTTAAGGAAGCCTTTCCTTCAGAAACCCTGGACAGGGTCACTATAAGTCAGAATCCACTTGACGGCACTTAACAACAATTCCTATTACCATGTTGTTGTTGTTAAGTGCTGAAGAGTTGGTTCTGACTCATAGTGACTCTGTATAGGGTTTCCAAGAGGCAGCTGGTGAGCTTGAACCACAAACCTTGTGGTTCAAACTGACCTTGCAATCCAGCACATTAACCCACAGAGCCACATCAGAACCATAGTTGCTGTTGTTATGAAGTGCCATCAAGTCAGTTCCATCCCATAGCAACCCTGTAAAGAGTTTCTGAGGAGCAGCTGGTGAGCTTCAACCTCTGACATTGCTGTTCAAACCAACTTTGTAGTCCAGCACATTAATCCACAACACCATACCAAAACTCCAGGACCAAGTAGATCATTAAAAAAAAAAAAACCCAAACAACTCATCATTAAAACAAAACCCCAAACAACCCACTGTCATCGAGTCATTTCCAACTCATAGTGACCCAGCATAGGATTTCTGAGGCTGTAAATCCTTATGAGAGCAGAAAGCCTAATCTTTCTCCTGAGGCATTCTGATGGGGTTGAACTGTTGACCTTGTGGTTAACAGTTGAGTGCTTTTCCTACAGTGCCACGAGTTTCTTATTCTTGTTGTCAAATGCCATTGCAACTCATATCCAGGGAGCTACTGGTGGATTTGAACAGCCAATCTTGTGGTTAGAAGTCCAGCGCTTATTCTACAGTGCCACATTAGTACCAATTAAATTCTGACAGTATGGCACCAACTCTAAAAAAAAACACCCAAGAGCATAGGTTAGATTCCAGATACACTACTGTGAAGGATGATGAACAGATCAAGCCCAAACAAACCCAGTACTATCTACTCAATTCCAACTCACAGTGATCCTTAGAATAGAGTAGAGCTGCTTCATAGGGTTTCTGAGGATTTAAATCTCTAGGAAAGCAGACAACCTTATATTTCTCTCATGGAAAGACTGGTGGACTTGAACCACTGATCTTTTAATTAGCAGCCTAATGCTTTGCCAACTGGTGGTGGTGGTAGTTATGTGCCATGGAGTTGGTTCTGACTAATAGAGACCTTGTCAAGGGTTTCCAAAACTGTAAATCTTTACAGAGGAAGAAAGCCTCATCTTTCTGCTATGGAACAGCTGGTAGTTTCGAACGGCTGACCTTAAGACTAGCAACTTGATTCATAACCACTATGGTACCAGAGGTGCACACTGGAGATCTTAAATAATCCCAATGCCAATATCGTGCCTGAAACATAATGGATACTCAATGTTTGTTAAATGAAGAGTAAGTGAATACAAACACCTGTGAACTAGGAGACTAGGGACTTACCTCTTCCCTGTGGACGTATTTATGTGCTTTTGTTATTTTTAAAGTGCAGATGTGACCCATAAGACAATATATAGTTCATAGATCCCAAGGTGCTCCCGCCAGCAAGGTATGAGGTCACCAAAAGCAAGAACACAAACCAAATCCTACTCAGGCTTGTTTGCTTTGTGTCAACAAAAAAGCAGGTGAGGGACGATTTCCTTCACATCTTTATTAACTTGGTATAAACAGTAAGACTACCAAACAAAGGCTCTTTATGACATTGCAAAGGCTACACAAATGACCACAGGTGGTCCTAAGGATTTGTCTTACCTCTGCAGCAGGGACGCCCTCTGGGGGGCGGCAGTGCAGGACAATCATGCCTTCAATGGGAACCTCCCTTCCTTGGGGATCTTGCTCAAAGTTTTTCCGTAAGTCTATAAAGAAATGAGATATATGAAACTGGATTTAGGGTAGTAGAGACAACATTATCCACATTTGTCCATAGAACAAACACAATAAAACAGTTAACAATGCCACAAACTAGATACACACAAATGTCATTAGTTTCAGAAATTCCAGAGTTTAAAAAAAAAAAAAAAAAAAAAAATCATGTTTTCCAAAGTACTCTGTAACTAGTTTGAAGTAAACCTCTAAAAAAATATTCCTAATGCTCTACATATACATGAATGTAGAAGAATTAGTAGAGGAATGGGGGAGGGGATTCAGTTCATGAGTCTTTGCCAGCATAATCTGCTTAGCAGCTAATGAAACCCAGCCTAATAGATTGCCATCCACAACTATTATGCTGTTGTGATACTCATGTATTGTTCTGGCATTGTTATTGTTTTAATTAACCAAAGAATGTATTATTAATCTGTAACCTCTGCCATTTCCTAACCCACTAGGGGACTCTAGATGATTATAGAGTGTGATCACCTATTCGTCTTTTTATTTTTAGCCAGAGAGACTGAGCAATATTCAACCACAACAAAATCTATAACCTATTCAACCAAACATATAATTAAAAAATACACCGCCCTCAGCCAAACAGCAATCCGGTGTATCTGTGTAGTGCCCTTCACGGAAGGCTCCAGGCACTTTGCAAACAAGCTGCACTATTAACCTTTTACACATGGAAGGGTGAAGCTTGGAGAGGTTAATTGGCTTGCCACTGGTCACACAGAGCATCAGTGGCAGCGATGAGGAAAAATTCACTCAACTTCTGGAAGTCCAGTCTCTCCTGCTAATCAGCAATGCATCCTTGTCATGCTTAAGGACACATATAGGCAGTCCAGAGGGAGCTTCATTTGCATTGCTTTCTACTTGAGCATAAGCTTCATTCAAAAAGGTGGGGAGTTGTTGGCCTTTGCTTTTGAGGTGTCATGACAACATTTTTGATAATTTTATACCATAAGTGTAATTCTTGCTGTCACTTGAAAGCACAGGATAGTGAAGCCAAGACAGGTTGTTTACAAGTCTTCCTCAAATAAAAGATTTCCTCTTCCCTCCATGACAATGTTTTGTTTTTTTTTTCTTCAGATTGAGTATTTCAAATTACGGGCTGTGGATTTATTGATTTAATTTTCTTCAGTGCTTACAATAACATGAAATATGTTCCCTGTAAAGAGCAGAGCTCTAGAATCAGTTATATCTTTATAAATTGTATAAATACATTAAGCTAGCTTTTAGCAAGTCAAAAACACTTGAATAAGCACAGCGATCCATGTATCCACTTTCTTCTGAATTTTGCTTTTAATGCTTTCTCTACCAAAGGCAACCGTTGTCTTCTATCAGTAGTGCTGTATACATCAGTATGTTGTTGTTGTTGTTAAGTTCAGTCGACTCATAGTGACCCTGTATAGGGTTTCCAAACAGCAGCAAGTGAGCTTGAACTGCCATCCTTCTGGTTCAAGTCGACTTTGCAGTCCAGCACATTAACCCACAGTGCCACACCAGGACTCCATTCATTAGTACAAATGAAGGCAAAAGATCTTTAAAAATATATGCCCATAATGCAAATATTTTTAAAGATGTTTTGCCTTCATTTATCTTTTCATTGTCTCTGCTGCCCAGTGTGTTATAAAGCCAGCTCGCTTGTATTTTAGATTTGTAAATTGCCCCAACCTTTGGGAGTCAGAACTTGTTCTCCAAATGTGGTGATGGTCATATAACTAATTTAAAAAATTGCAAGTGGAGACACCTAGAATGCAGGTACTGTGAATAAACACCAAAATGAAAAATCTCGTATTTCCTGTACAATTTGACCATAGGTTCTGCTCTGATTTCTCCCGTTATGTTCATGTCAAAAAATCCCTTCTCCATATGACTCATTTATTCATCAACATGATATCAAAATTCATCTATTCAACATTATAGGGAGGAGTCCCTGGGTAGCTCATACAGTGAAGTACTCAGCTTAACCAGAAAGTTGGTGGTTTAAATCTCCCCAAATGTACTTCCAAAGAAAGGTTTGTCAAGGTACTTCAGAAAGGTTGCAACCATAGAAACCCATAGGAAACACAGTTCTATTCTGAGTCACATGGGGTCACCATAAATTGAAATCCACTCACTGACAACTTAGAAAAGGACCCAAGCAAGCAAAGGAGATATCAGTTTGCTAATAGAAAGGGTTATGCGTTTATGAGTTATTTTGCTTTTGTTTTCCTTGGTTGTACTAGTTTTACACGAAGTCTCACTTGTTGCTACTAAGTGAAGACCGCAGCTTTGACAACACCAAATAATCTGTATTCAATGAGAAGAAGCACAGACAATCAAAATAGGAATTTTCTCTTTTATTTTCTGGTTCTATTTCCTTTCTGTGCTCAATAGAAATGAAAAAGGAAAAAAAAAAAAAAAATGCATAGGTTACATTTACCTCAACATTCTAAAACTACTTTAACAGATGAAAAGACAATTTGAATGAGGCCATTTATCCTTGGTATTCCCAACCTCTCAATGAAACAGATCATTTAGTATGTATATACAGAAAGCCCTAGTGGTGCTGTAGGATAAACACTGGACTGCGGAACACAAGGACAGTGGTGCATACTCACCAGCTGCTGCAAGAGAGAAAGATGACACTTTCTGCTTCTATAAAGACGTGAAGCCTCAGAAACCCTATATAGGCTTGCTATGAGCTGGAATCAACTAGATGGCAGGGATGGTAGTGGTGTGCTGTTGAGTAGATTCGAACTCATAGCAACCCTGTATAGGGTTTCTGAGACTGTAACTCATATGGGAGCACAAAGGCTCATCTTTGTCCTACAGCATGGCTAGTGGATATGAACTGCTGATCTTGCATAATCACTAGACTATTAGAGCTCCTTAGATGGCAGTAAATTTTGGTTTTTTGTTCTTTGGGATTTTGGATTTTGTATTCAGAAAGAAAACCACTTTATCAACATCAGAACTTAGAGAATAATGTTTATCAATAAATAAGAATGCTAGATCATGTGCAGGCAGGATTACATTGAATGAAGGCCCAATCCAACCTGCCACTATTGTCAATCGACCTTTGAAGGCACTAGAAGAGAGCCCTAAAAAAAAACACATCAAAAGTACTCAATGTAAAGATACAAAGATTAAAGGCAATGGGGGAGGTATACAGGAAAAACTAGGGTGTGATATATCTGGTTCCAATAATGACATTGATGTCTGCAAGGCTTCAAAGATTACACCAAATGAGAAACTCAGGTATCACTAAGTCTTGACCTATACCTGTAAAAATGCTAGGCAAAGGACACTGGCATTTATTACTACTCATTAGAGGTCAACCATGCCAGATAGATTCTAGATAATGCCTGATTCTACCACAATTACGAAAATAAGTTCTTAGACATAGAGGTAAATGCCTTCAGATCTAACTATGTTTTTCACTATAGGTCACCCAACATATTTCACTTATGAATTTTTTAACTAAACACTTTCATCTGTATTATTTCCTAGGACTAAAAGAGTCACATAAACCTATACAATTTCTAAAAATAGAGAAAACGTCTCAGTCACATAAAAAGTATTAGACTACCAAAGATAGAAATAAACTGTAGAACTCAAATTAAATGACTTCTTCTAAGAAGACATGAAATGGGAGGCACATTTAGATAGTTTCTAATTTAAGCTCTTAAAAGTCAAAAGGAAATAGCAACTGAGAATCTAGAGTAGGGAGCTATAAATAGGATAACATCTGAGATCAAGAAAGTGTCAACACCAAGAAAAAGAACATAACTGCTGAATTAAAAATATTTCATGGAGACAGCAAATAGTATACGAATATCGCAGAAAACCGACCATAAGCATATCCCTCAAGATCTAGTCAGGAAAATTGAAAGCATGGCTACTGTTTTAACAGAAGTATTAGGTTAAAGATTTAGAAGACTGAGAAAGCAAAAGAGGAATTGCAGGAAGTAGATCCAACCTCTAGGGATGGGAGAATAAGGGAAAAAGTTTCTGCTATTAGAACTTTGAAGCTTAAAGAAGACCTTATGAAGTTGAGACCCAAACATCCAAGGAGAGAATTCTTTGAGATTGGTGCTAGCAGTTCAGGAATATGGTGAGCCCAGAGAGTTGGAATCTAGGGAAGCCTCAGCTTTCTACAAGTGGGGACCAACCTACTTGGTGCTGGGATCTCTGAGGGGCTCACTGAATATAAGGCAAAATTAATTTAATGAGAAAAAAAAAAAAAAAAGAACAGATCCAGATACATCCAAGTTGAAACTTTCAATTTTAGTAGAGTTAATAACATTGTAAAAATAAACCTTTACCAGGGATCTATGTAGAAAAAAGAAGAAGTAACTAATAAAGGAACACAAATCAGGCTATCTCTAGAATTCTTGCCTATACAATTGTATTGTTGTTAAGTGGTATTATTGTTCTTAACAATAAGTGTTGTTAAGTGTGCTCGAGTTGGTTCTGACTTGCAGTGATGCTGTATAGGGGTGCTGAGACTGTAAATCTCTGAATGCAGAAAGTCTCACCTTTCTTCCATGGAGCAGCTGGTGGGCTTGAACTGCTGAACTTTTGTTTCCCAGTCAAGTGCTTATTGTACAGAGCGATCACACTCCCCAAATTATTGTGTGCCAGGATACAATTAATCAAAATATGAATTCCTTAGAAATTTTTTTTTATTTTCTATTGTCAAAACAAGTTATTATTCATAAGCAAACTAACAATAGTACAGTCTTGACCATAGTAGAATTAAGTGACTATTATCAGTCACATACTCTTCCTGAAATCATTGCCCTTAACTAAAATAACTGATGGATTCAAAGTAATGAGTTAAAGATCTGAAGTTGTATTGTATATTGGCAATGCACAATAAACCACTTAACATTTCTGAAAACAAACACTTATTTTATCAAAAATTCTGAAAACAGAAATATATAGTATATTAAAAACATACATAATAAATAAGGCTATGGATTTAAACTGGTAGATC